AAATAAAACACTGATGGCCAGTGACCAGACAGGAAGTATAGGCAGGACAAGGAGAGAGGAGAATTGGGGAAACAGGAAGAAGGGGGAGAGACACTGCAGCCACCACCAGGACAAGCAGCATGTAAAGACGCCGGTAAGCCACCAGCCACGTGGCAAGGTATAAATTTATAGAAATGGGTTAATTTAAGATATAAGAACCAGATAGCAAGAAACCTGCCACAGCCATACAGTTTATAAGTAATATAGCATCTGAGTGATTATTTTATACGTGGATTGTGGGACTGCAGGGCTTGGTGGAACCTGGAGAGAAGCTCTCCAGCAACAGATCTCAGCTGAACTGCTGCTAAAAGCTAAAAGCTTAAAACCTAAAGTTCCTGGTCCTCATGCCTTATATACCTTTCTGCTCCCTGCCATCGCTTTCTGGGATTAAATGTGTGTGTCACCATGCCTGGTTGTTTTTAAGATGGCCTCAAACTCACAGAAATCTGGATGGATCTCTGCCTTCCGAATGCTAGGATTAAAGGTGTGTGTGCCACCATTTTGTGGCTTCTGTATCTAGTGGTTGTTCTGTTCTCTGACCCCAGATAAGTGTATTAGGGTACACAAAATATTGTGCACAGTATATCACCACAGCTTCATTATGATATTCCCATACACGTATATAACATACACTATATTCCCCGCTAATGCTATTTTATCTCTCTCCTTCCTGTTCTTCTTCTCTTCCCTAACAGCCCCTTTTCTTCTTTCATCTCTTTTTTTCCATACACATCCCATATATGAGAAAAAAAGATATATGATAGCTGTCTTTCTGGACCTGGTTTGTTTCACATAACACAATGATCTCTAATTCCTGAAATCAACATAATTTCATTCTTTATAGCTGAAGAATCCTTTATATACAATCCTATACATATATAAAAATATATATAATATATCACAATGATATATGTGTATTTATATGTTCATGTACACATGCGTGTGTGTGTGTGTGTGTGTGTGTGTGTGTGTGTGTGCCTGTATATGCCTCATATCATTTTTTTATCTGTTTATCCATTGTCAGGCACCTAGGTTGAATCTATGACTTGACTGCTATGAATAAATACTGCCACCATAAGTACAATGTGCAAATACCTCTATAGCGTGCCAACTAAGATTCCTTCAGGAACATAACCAGGGTTAGTATGGCTAGATTACATGGTAGTTCTGTTCTGGGTTGAGAAACTTTCCTGCTACTGGTGGTAGGGTCTGATGGGTGTGCTATCAAGATCCCTTTCCCCAGAATCCTTGCTAGTGTTTGCTGTTAGTTTCTAGTGATTATATTACAACCTGAATGACATGGAATCTCAATGTAGTTTTAGATTGTTTTTGTTTTGTTTTGTTTTGCTATTAATATGGTTTTGTTCTGATTTGAAATGAAATCTCATTTTTAACTTTATATTCCAGAATGGTCTTATGCTTGCTTTATTGCCCAGGCTACTCTCAAAACTTGTTATCCTCCTGCCTCAGGAAATCTGAATGCTCGAGTCATAGGCACCAACCCAGATTCAATGTAGTTCTTGTTTGTCTGAGACATGGTCTCACTCTGTAGCTTGGGCTAAATTCAGACTCACTATCTAGTCCTACCTGGCCTTAGACCCATGGCAATGCTTCTGCATTTACTTCTCAAGTGCTGGGTTTAAAGGCAAGAGCCGCCACCATGTCAGGTTTTTTAAAAATGAGCCAAAGATAGAGTTTGTGAAGAAAAGGTTTTAGTGTAGATTTAAGTGGAAACAGGGAGAGAGAGCAGAGATAGATGAGAGAAAGATAAGAAGCTTAAGTTGGAGGCAATTATAGATAGATGCCTGAGAGTATCTGTGTATGTGCTATATATTATTTAAAAGATTAAGTAGAAATGTTTCTTATTTTATTTTTGTCAAAATAGTGTTGCTTTAGTAATGCGACAACACAGTGGTTTATAAGGAGCATTGCCCGGGGTTGCAAGCCGAGAGGAGTTAAGAAGTCAACAAAGGCCAAAGCATTCAGTGGAGACCTGAGTTTATGGAGCTTATTTTTTATTTGAAGGACTTTCAGGCTGTGCAGGGTTATTGGAATGTCATCTGTCCTAAGCGGTTCAAACTACCTGGATTAGAGGATATTTTCTGAAAGCCCTCGAGTAGCTGATGCAGAATCCTGCCCGGAAACAAGGAGCTGGCAGGGAAATCATAGGGTCCCTTTTCCCAGGGAATCTGTACTGTTTTATGAGTATTAGCTCATTTCATCTCTAGGGTTGGGGATTTAGCTCAGTGGTAGAGTGCTTGCCTAGCAAGCGCAAGGCCCTGGGTTCGGTCCTTAGCTCTGGAAGAAAAAAGAAAAGAAAAGTTACAGCTCACTTCATCTCCTCCCCGCCCTAGGAGGTAACTGCTATTATCACCTCCAGTCTGCACATAAAGAAACTGAGGCACAGAGAGGCTAAATAACCCCCTCACTGTCACAGATGTGACAGGCTGCTGAACCAGCACCCATGCTCTCAGGTACTTCTGGTGTGTTCAGCGCCCAGGTGATCAAAGGCGTTCCATGCTTAGAGCCAGCACAGACAGAAAGGGGTCCACGTGCTTCCTCTAGTGCAGGCAGGAAGTGAGGGCCTGGGTAGAGTCTGACCTCTAACCTGTTCTTCAGTGTCCTCACAGTTAGTGACCAGCCAGGGAAAGATGTGAAATGCTGCTGAGCCCTGAATACCCTGAGTGGGTGACGAAGCTGAGGGCAGACATCCCACAAGGCACAGTTCTTCCTCAGCTGATTACAATAATTATTGTCAAGTGTGCAGAGGCTCACTTGGAAGAAGTAAATCAATTCCGTGTTTGAGCATGCGAGCTATCTCCAAAATCCACGTGTTGAAAACTCAATTCCGAATGCAGTAGTGTAGATGAAATCCTAAAGAGTCTTAGTAAATAAGAAACACAGAGTCAAATACAGAGGAAATAGCCAGAGATCAGAGCAGTGGCCACGAGTAGCTTTAGCTTACCATGAGCACTAGCTTCCCCTCCTCAGAGAACCTTTTTCCAGCCTGACTTGTGTTTTTATTGCCTTTCTGTTCTGCCTTCTCATTGGCTCTAAACCCAACCACATGACTTCCTCATCACTGCCTGTCTATACAGACCTCCAGGTCTCTATGGCTGGTACTGGAATTAAAGGCTCAGGTCACCACACTTGGCTGTGTCCTTGACCACACAGAGAATCTGCCTGCCATGTGATTGGTTTAAGGGTGTGTGCTACCACCGCTGGACTTCTGCTTAATGGCTATTTGACCTCTGATCTCCAGGCAACTTTATTTATTAACATACAAATAACATATCACATTTCATCACAAATAAAAGATCACCACACAGTAGAGCTGGGAGATGGAGCATATGAGAAATGTTTAGGGTGAGGGTGAAGCTTTCATGGATGGTTAAGGATTTTGTGGGACTGAGTTCTTGCTTTCCTGCTCTTGTGCCATGTGGGACACCATTGTTCTTTTTTTTGCTTTTCAGCTTTCTGCCAAGTGAGGGCACTCCAAATATCTATCCCTTGATTTTGGACTTCAGAGCCTCCAGAACTGAGAAAATAAAATTATTACTCAGCCTCGAGAGTTAGGTTACAGTAGCAACATGAGGGATAACATAACCTCTAACTGTGAAGTACCAATCTGCCAGCAGTGTTAAGGGTTCCCTCCCATGGATGTGAGCCCCCAGCCACTGGCCAGTCTGTGGATGACACGCCATCAGCTCAGAACCACTAGGAATCTTTGAGCTGGAGGATCCTGCCTAATTCTTCCCCTACCCTGCTCCAGATGAACAATGTGATATCATAAACACTTGCTGTAAGCTGCTAAAAGTTGATGGGTAACTTGTTACACTAAAGCGGACAGTGTGAGTACGATGAACTGTTTGTGTGTATTACCTCATATACCAAATCTGAGGTTTCTTAAAGAGGTTATTTCATCACCGTGTTGAATCTAGCATGGTGTCTGAAGTCTGAAAGTTCCTATGGAAATATTTACAATATGAGTGGAGAACTGATCAACTTCAGGACTGATTTTACCCATTTACAAAGGACTTAAATGAGGTGAGACACTGAGCCAGGATCTGGGAACATGTATGAGTTAGGGTCCCTCTGAGGTCAACTCTGAGATGAAGCTCTGAACATGCTCAGAGGATGGCAAGGTAAGTCGTCATGGTAATTCTACTCCAGCTTCTCGAGGTGGGTGCACTTCAGGGGCCTCACATTCTGCCATTGCTGGTTCTTCCCGTGTGAGTGCAAGTGTAGTCACAACAGCAGGACAGGGATGCTCAGGAAAATGACTGGAGTGTGTGTGTGTGTGTGTGTCAATCAGCCAGCCGGCCAGGCTGCTGGCAGCCTCTGCCATGGAATGAAACACAAATCCAATGCCCATTGCTTAGAAAGTTCACAGTACAGTCTACCAGGAAGAACAGTCAAATAGTAAAGAGGGATGGTGAGAGTAGATGGAAGGCCAGTCAGTGCTCTCACTGGAGACTATGGAAAGCTTTCCTGGGAGACAGCTGAGCTGGTACTGCAGAGTGAATGCTGTGAACAAACACAGGGAGAATGAGTGTATGTCAAGAGGAGGGACCAGTACTTACTAAAACAGAGATGCATGTGCACACAGTGCATCAGGGAACAGGAAATGCTTAGACATAGGGGTCTAAGTTGCAGAGGAAATTGGAAAAGGAGCCTGCAAGACAACTATTAGGGAACACACCTATAACTCCAGCATGCAGAATGAGTGCTGAAGCCCAGGGTTCGATTCCAGGCAACTCACTCTCTAGTCCCTGCTTACGTAGTAAATTCTAGGCTAAACCAGACAACGTAGCAAAACCCTGTCTCAAGAAAGAAAGATAACAAGGAAATAGAGAGAGAGACAGGGGTGAGGGAAGGAGGGAGGGAGGAACGGGAGGAAAAAAGAGAGAGGGGGATGGAGAGAGGGAGGGTGGAAGAAAGAGAGAAAGAGAGAGAGAAAGAAAGAAAGAGAGAGAAAGAAGGAAGAGAGAAGGAAAGAAAGAAAGAGAGAAAGAAAGGAAGGAAGGAAGAGGTCAAGAGAATAAAAGGGAAGGAAGGAGGGAAGGAGGTAGAAAGGAAGGAACTTATGGACAACACACTTTCAGCACTTGAAGAACATTCTAAGGGCAGAAGTACTACACTTTATGGGTTACTACAGAACCAAATGTTCTGTAGTAATGGAGGCAACATTCTTTAACACTCCCATATTCTCAACATCACATAAGTTCCCAGTGTTTCCAACAATCTATGTCTTACAATTTCCGATATTCTCAACATTTCAAACTTCCTTCAGCATGCTCCATTTTCTAATGCCCCCAATATTCTCAGAATCTCAGCATTTTCCAAGACACCCAGGTCTCTGAATATTTTCAGCATCCCCAATACTCCCAATTCCTCATCCCTCTCTACTTTCCCAACATTTCCACACTTCCAATATTCCCAGTGCTACCAATAGCCTCAGCATCAACTGCATTCATAATGCTCTGAAAACCCTACCATTGCCAGTTTTCATAGGAAGCAGCATCATACTATAAATTAGATCCTGTCTCCTAGAGTCCAATAACCAGCCTCAGCTCCATGAGAGAGGTGTACCGCCTTTCCTGTTTATTTTGTGATTATTACACAACTACAATCCTTTTCCATATTCACAGCTGCTACATATCAAATGCTTCTATTTCTACCTCAAAACTCACATGCTGAAGCTCTGATCCCTTATGCTAAGTTACTAGGAGGTAGGTAGGGCTCTGAGTTTCAATTAGACATGGAGTCATGAGAGCAGAGTCTACATAGCTCTTGATATATGAGTCACCAGAGTTGCTGTACCTCTCCTTGCCTCTGCCTGTCTGTCTGCCTCCATCTCTCTCTCTCTTCTGTGTGAGTGTCTCTGTGTCTGTGACCTTGAATGTCTATTCCCACATGTAAGGACACAGAGAGAAGATCATCTACAACCCAGAAGATGATGCACACTGGAGCCCCACCCATACTGTCACCTGACCTTATCCTCCTACCCGCTAGAAACTAGTCAGTGGTATTATTTAATGGCAGCTTGCTAAGACAGGGGATGCAGAATGCTATTCTTGGAGAAGCAAGGGTTTTCTTTCAATGGCAAAAGTCAAGAGGATTCATTTGCCTGTGAGTTAACCTAGAAACAAGGCAAGGCCATAAACTGGGCTGGGCCAATGAGCTGTGAGTCTTCAGGGGATATTGAGGGATAGGGGAGTCTTGAGGTGAAATTGACATGTAGGGTGCTGAAGTATCATCATGTACCCTCACAGAGAAAGGGCAGTGGAAATGAGGTGATAAATGAAGTCCCAGCCCAGGCCTGTGAGAGAGGACAGGTAGGAGTTAGGGAAATAAGACTCGGGGCACTGCTGGTACTAATTCATGATTCACTTACACACATGTTGAGATTTCATTGTTTCCCAGTAATTAGGTTGAAGGTTTTGATCTCACTTCCTTTTAATAAATAATTTGTGAGATCCTAATTACATTACTTTCCCCTTTCCCTTCCTTGTTCCAAACCCTTTCATTCAAATTCATGGGCTCTTTTTCTTTAATTATTGTTGTTGTTATTGTTTTGGTGATGGTGGTATTGGTGTTGTGTGTCTTGTGTTCCTTAATATAATCTATTCAGTCTATATACCGTTACTTATATTTATACATTTTGGGGGTTGACCGTTTGGTATTGGAGAAGCCATTGCTGTGCTCTTCCCTGGGGAAGATTGTTTCTCCTGCTTTCAGCATTCCTTAGTTGCCTGTAGTTTTGGGGTAGGGTTGAGGCTGCATGAGCTTTCCCCTTCCACATTAGCATGTCTACTGTTCTTACTCTTGTTCAGCTCATGGTTAGGCAGTCACGTTGGTGAAATAGATGGGTGTAACTTCTGACATTTCTAGGAGATAAGATCTCACAGCAAATGCCCTGTTCCTCTGGCTTTTTACAATATTTCTGCAATGATCCTTGAGCAGTAGGTGCAGGATTTGTGTTGTAGATGCATCAGTTGGGACTGGGTACCACATCATTATTTGTCTTGGCATTTTCATTGGTTGTGGTTCTCTGTAATGGTCTCCATCTGTTGCAAAGAGAAGTTCGCTACCTGTGAGTATAAGGACAAATGTTTGGAATGCAGTGGTTAGGTTTTGTGCATGTTTAGAAAAGTAGCAGTTGTAGGTTCTTCTCCATGATCCTGGAGGAACTGCGGAAGCCAGAAAAGTAAAAAGGAACCATGGGGGGGGGGGCGGCAATAGAGAAGAGAATAGCAGGAAGAATGAGCAGAAGAGGGAAATGAGAAAATTGGGGGCTTCTGATGGAAGGTGGTAAATATAGAAGTAAAAGAAGGGTAAAAGAACAGGAAGGATTTCTGAAAACTTCAAAAGAAACCGTAATATTAACTACCTACTTACAATGCCTCTAATGCACTGAAGTTGGTATATAAATATACATGTATAGTTTACATAAAACTGTCTCATCTAGGCTGGCAATGAATGTGCCATCCAAGGGCAAAGGACCATCTAACAGAAACTCCAACACCAAGTGTGATAAACCCTCCTTTTGAGTTGTAAGTCAGGGTTGTCCAAGAGACACTCAAAACATACAGCCTATTGCTATTGCTTTTGGTAGAAGGAAGGTCCCTATTTCTATAGATACCATGTACTTTGGAGACAGGGCCCAGGGGCCCTGTATCTGTATCTGACTTGAGAGTCCCCTTCCTGAGCTAGAGAGATGGCTCAGCAGTTAAGAGCATTGGCTGCTTGTCCAGGAGACCTGGGTTCAATTCCCAGCACCGACATGGCAGCTCATAACTACCTGGACCTCCAGTTCCATGGGATCCAACACCCACTTCTGGCCTCTCTGGGCACTGGGTATACATGTGCACAGATATTCATGCATGCATAATACTCATACATACAAAAATAGTAATAATACAAAACAACTTTCTTAAGCCAGGCAGTGGTGGTGCATGCCTTTAATGCCAGCATTAGGAGGCAGAGCCAGGCCGATCTCTCTGAGTTTGAGGCCAGCCTGGTCTACAGGGCAAGATCCAGGACAGGCACCAAAACTACACAGGGAAACCCTGTCTCAAACAACAACAAAGTCCCCTTCCTGAGGACTAGCTTTCATGGAACCAGAAGACATCATGCAAGCTTCCAAAGGAAGGAAGGAAGCCACCAACAGTCCTATTCAGCCATGGTATCTATGAACCACAGCAACCACCAGAATGGCATGATAATCCAAAGGGCAGAGCAGAGGCACTCATACCTTGGCAGTAACCAGCAACTCTGTACTTGCACTTAAGACCCACTCAACCAGAGAAAAATTGGGCCTGCTACTGGAAACCTCGCTACCTACCCAGGGCTGGTGATGTCACGTCTTAACCTCTCAACTAAAGAGGTTTCTCTCTGTGCTTTCTCCCTGTGCTCATACCGTGTGCAGGTGTAGTGTGCCTCTGCCCTCCCTACTTGCTTGTCTTCATGTTAAGTGAACTGTCATCATTTTCTCCTACAGGAGTCCTTTCTCTTCCAGGATTTGGTAGATTCAGCACAAGAAATTGTTATAATTATTATTATTATTGTAATTTAAAAGGATAAGTTTTTGTTTTCATTTATGCCATAGGAATAAAAAAATAGCAATTTTATGTGCCTTTGGGTGTTTTTTAATAGTTGTCACAGCACTCAGTGCCATTTAGAATTTTCCAACTATGATTAGGATTATACCTATTTTCACTTTAATGTGCATTCAGTAAAGTTTATTCCCAACAATTCTTTTTTATATGCTTAAAACTCACTCTAAAGCATACACTTTTAAAAGCAATAGGGCACGAATCTCAAATTTTCAAAGAATATTGCTTCATGTTTATACAACATTATTTATTTATTTTTAGATTATTTTTGATTATAACATATTTGCATCATTTCCCCACTTCCCTTTCCTCCACCCAAACTTGCTTCCATCTGAGGTAAGTTCTGTATCTACAGGTTCAGCCAAATGCAGACTGAAATTTTCCTAAAAATGATTGCTTCTGTACTGAACACATGCATATATTTTCTTGTCATTATTACCTAACAATATAGCAAGTCACTATTAATATAGCATTTACATTCTGTATGGTTTTATAATTTAACATATGTGGGAGGCTGCATGTAGGTTACATGCAAATACTGTGCCATTTTATATGAGGGACTTAGCATTTGCAGATTTGAGTACTTGTGGCGTTTGGGGATCCTGTATTCTCATATGGTCTCCTTGCTTATCCTCCCATAAGTAAAGATATTGAGTGGGTCAGCACAGAGGGAAGCAAAAGGGAGGCCTCTGCCCTCCATTCTCTTTTTGGAAAAAGTCCACAATGAACATGATGGATGCTATTTTTCCCTAAACATTACAGTATAACAAATACCATAGCACTGGTGACAGAGTGTTAACCTTTGTAAGTAAATTAGGGATGATTTACAGGATATATGAGGGTTTGTATAGATTGTATGAAGGCCCCATAACATGTTATCTAAGAGATTTGTACATCCTCAGATTTAGGAATCTGTGGGGAGATGGGCCTCCTGGAACAAATGTTACACAGTTACAAGGGATCACACAAGTCTCCAGTGCTCATAGTGTGAAAAGCAAAACAAGTAAATTCCTAGTAAGTAAACCATCACATGGGTTTTCAGCAGCATCACATGGCTCGCCTCTGTCTATAATAAGTGTGTCTAGGTTTCTCATAAGCAGCCTCACATGCCCATCACGATGTTATAAAGTACCAGGCCTCCAGTTCCATCCTATAGGGTGTCCTCTGGATACTTGAATCTCAGGGCTTCTGGTTTAGACACCCTTAAAGATAGAAACACAGCCGGGTGGTGGTGGCACATGCCTTTAATCCCAGTACTTGGGAGGCAGAGGCAGGCAGATCTTTTTGAGTTCGAAGCCAGCCTGGTCTACAGAGTGAGTTCCAGGAAAGGCACAAAGCTACACAGAGAAACCCAGTCTCAAAAAACTAAAACAAAAAAAAGATAGAAACACCTCTTTTGGAAGCCCCTAGTCTATACCCCAGGCCAATGCTTGCCAGTAAGAACAGTGCAGGGAAGTGATGAAACACTCATGCCATCCCCAAAATGTATGCCAGACACTTTTGCCTTAGCTGCACAGGAACATTCTGTGGCTGGATTTAAAGAAGAATACTGGCATTCGGTATTCTATGTAACTGAGAGATCTGATTGGATTGGGTAGTCAAACATTATGTATGGACAGAGGATTATATTTTCAAAGGATATTCAGAAATCTGTGACATTTTCTTGGCATGAAGAATAAATTCTACAATGGATGACTTAAACAACAAATACATATTTGCCTACAGCGCTGGAGACTAGAAGGCCCAAAAGGTATGAGAGGGTTGGTTTCCCTTGAGATCTCCTTGAATTATAGACGGCCTCCTTTGTACCTGTGCTCTCATGCTCATCCTCAGTGTGTTTGTGTCTCAGTCTCCTCTTATTATTAGAAGAACAACTATGTTGGATCAGGTCCTACCTTAATGGTATCATTTGATTTGATATCTCTCAAAGTCTTGATTCCAAATAAGCTGTGCTGAAGATCAGGAATTCAAAAAGGAAAAGGTAAGCTGTGTGGTGGTGGCACACGCCTTTAATCCCAGCACTCAGGAGGCAGAGCCAGGAGGATCTCTGAGTTCGAGGCCAGCCTGGGCTACCAAGTGAGTTCCAGGAAAAGGCGCAAAGCTACACAGAGAAACCCTGTCTCAAAAAAACAAAAAAAGAAAAAAGTAAAAGTATAAGTGAGTCTGGAACTCAATCCATTGCATCATGACTTTTAATAATGCAGCACTGGACTGTCTCATAACTCCAAAATACCTGTGTGTACACAGAATGGTTTAGACAGAACAGAGGAAAACATTGATAGCATCAAGGTCAGATACTTAAGAGTACAGGCCTGACTAGTGACCCACCCATTGGGACAAAGCTGACTATGCCCCTTTAAAACAGCCGTGATCTCTCAGCCATTGTGTTTTAGAAACTAAGAGTCCTAGTTATTTAGAAATGAGGGCTAAAATAGCACTACTTAAAGGGGGCTACTTAGAACCAAGGTCAGTATTTTAGTTAGCTTCCTAATGCTGTGATAAAAGACAAAGCACCTTTGGGAGAAATGGGTTTATTTCAGTTTACAGTTCCATAGAACAATCCAACACTGAGGGTAGTCAGGGCAGGAACTCAAACAAGACAAGAACCTGGGAGCAGGAGCTGATGGAGAGTCATTGGAAGAGGACTGCTCCTCATGGCTGGCTCAGCCTGCTTTCTTATACACTCTAGGACCACCCACAATGGTCTGGGACTTCCCATATTAATCGCTAATTAAGAAAATAACCAACAGATTTACCTATAGGTCATTATGGAGGCATTTTTCCCATTAAGACTCCCTCTGCTCATCTAGGTTTATGTCAGCTTGGCAAAAATCAACCAGCACAATTGACCTTTTGCCAACGTGACACATAAACACATCATTTCTTAATCCATAACCTTTCTTATTCATCCTCAAGATCTCATATTATACTAATATCACAATATAAAATACATGTAGCTTTGAAAATACCAGTCTTTAAGATATCCAAAGTGTCTTTCAAAGCTCAAATCTCTCTAAAAATGCAGTATCTCTAAATATCCAAAGTCTCTTTAGACTTCAAAATCTCTTGACTATGGGCTCCTATAATACCAAAAATTAAGTTAGGTACTTTCTTATTCCAAGAGAAGGAATCAGGGCATAGTCACAATTAAATCAAAGCAAAACTAGACTTTAACAGCATAAATAGTTTGGCACTTGACATCTGGGACCTACTCCATCCCCTGGGCTCCATAGGCTCTTGATCTGCAGTGTGCTTGTCTCTTAGGTTTAGGACTCCTTAATGCCTTCAAAACCAGTACCACCTGGGTGAGTCTTACACATTACCAAGTTCAGCTGCCAGCACAAGGAACATCCTTGGCCCCATCTGGACCTATAGGTCCTGTGTGCTGACTCTGAGGAAACACTTCCAAGAATATTTCACCTCAGAGGTGCTGGATTCTTTATAATCAATGCCAATTTCTCAGGTCCAGCTGACCA